GGCTGGCGGGGAGGGCACGCGGCCCCCTCCCGCCATGCCTGCCTGGGGAAGCTGTGAGGGGAGGGCTGCCGAACCCCGCGAGAGCCGCTCCCTCACGCCAGCCACGGCTGTGGGGTGTTGCCGTGTGCAGTTGGGTTCCCCAGCAAGGGCGGCCAGCACTGTCGCGGTTGATATCTCCGTGGAAGCGCAGGGCGACCATCATTTTGGGGACTGTCACAGGGCATGTGTGTCAGGCTTCGAGTCTTGGCGACTAACGACGGAGCCCCAGGACGCTGAGGTGGGAAGGAGGGAAACGCCGCCGCACTTGCTGATGTACCTTATATAGATTGTGGTAGGCCTGTAGTAACCCTGCTGTTCATAGCGTAGCTTATGGTGTGGTTGCCCTATTGAATGAAGTAGGGCTGCGATCCCAGGAGCACTCAGGTGTGGTGGCTGTCTTGCTCCATGACAAATGAGCTTTGCCATCTTCTTGACTGAGCTTTTCATCAGATGGCTCATGCTGGACGCTGGGCTTGCTCCTTGGAGCACATATTTGGAAACCCGTATATATATACATCTTTTTTTCTATTTAAGCTGAATTGTGACTTCGCAAGCAATAGTGTGGGGTCTTCATCCAGCTAGGCAAGCTATTTGAAATTTAAAATAGCAAGGCTGATGTGTTTTCCTGCCCATTCTGAATTCAGTAAATAAAACCCATGAGGAGTCCTTCACAGGGGAATGCCTGTTCCTTTAGACACCATGTAAGTTCAGCAATTTTAAGAGCTTCTTCTGAATGTGAAACGCTGTTTTTTCCCTACCCAGTGGGAAAGTTACTGCACTGAAGAGAGGATGAGAAGGCATGACAGAGATACAGAAGCTCTCATAGGTGGCACAGTTATGGTGAGGAGCAGTCTGCCAGCGAACTCTTTCCACAGAGACATAAGCTGGATCTTTGGGTACCCAATTGTGCTTCTGGGGGCACTATGCCGTAGTAGTGCAGCTCTACTCTATTCCTACAGTTGAACACCAGATCTTTAATCTTAAAAAAACGTTTTTACCTCCTTAACATTGACCAGGAAGGGCCTGGAGAACTTAAGATCTGAAAAAAATCAGAAAAAAATCTAGGTTGCAGATCTCTGGCACTGCTGGCCTAGAGTATAGCTTTCCTATATAATCCCTTAAATTCTTACCATTAAATTATATTTGATCTTATGCAAAACATCAGTTCTTTTTTGGGTGGCTGTACAGTGCACATTAATTTTGTCTCTGAACCAAATTGCTGCTTTTCTTACCTGTTTTAGAAACAGCCAAGTTGGTGGTATCAGAATGCTTGGAGCTGCAACAGTATGTTGCCTATCTCTTTTTATTTAGGTAGTTATGAGAGAAGACGGGATTTTTTCTCTCTTACTGCAGTTTCTGTGCTTACAGATAAGTGGGACTCCTAAAAATGTAGGACCTGCAGTCCACACACTTCACTGGTAATTAAAGTACAGAAGCAACAACATGGAGTAACAGAGAAAATTTAGGTCGACTACATTTTTTTTTTGCATGTACTTTCATATGCTGGCCTATTTAACACGCTATCTTTGGACACCTACTCTGTCAATCCGAAAAAGTTTCGCTTAAAGCCTATACATCATTTTTTAGAAATCCAGCTTCAAAGTGTTAGATTGGCTCTAAGTTATTGACTCCTATTACTGTAAACTGGATTCATGTTTGTGACATGCTCCCTAATATATTTTGAAATTTTACAGTTTCGTGCTTACAGAAAGCAGTACAGACACTTCTAATAATCTAATGAATGCAAAATTGTAACGTCAATTACTTATATCTACTAGCAACAGCACTTAGTGAGTTTTGAATGCTTTGTCATATCTGCCATGCAAAGAGAACTGAATTTAACTTCGATTCTGAATTAAGTCAAAATTTTAAAAATTTTTGTCTTAATCTACCACCTAAGGAAGCATCGCCTGTATCATAGAACTGCAATTGATTGTTTTCACTCTAGAAAAAGCAAAGCAGAGAATAACAGAAACATCCTTTTGGAGGATGTATGAACGATGGCTTAGCATAGATCCTATACTTGGCTTCAGACAGTGTTACACATTTGCTGAAATACCATATTCTGCCAGCAGTAGTTCTCAGTCCTTTAAATGGAGGTAGTAGACTCAGTTAATGACTTTGTAGTTCAGATATTTCCTACTGAGGCAACTGGAAATTTGTCTGATGTAGGATAGCAGTATTTAGACCCTTGGAAATGTTGAGGTGTGTGTGAGGTATGTGACTGAGCAGCTTAGCAGTAGAACAACTTATTTACATATCTGAAATGTCTGAAGTCGTCACGTAAGAAGTGGTCAAACCATCCATTCTTTCTTGCTGACCATACAACATGGCATTGCCGAGGTCAACCCCTTACAACAGTTGCTGACAGTGCTTCCTATCAAAGGAGCCCCATGAGGCTCGCCTCTAATTATTTATGTTTGGCTCCTTCTGAAAATGGTGCGCTCAGTTCCTTACTGCTTTAGTGAACTCTTTGTCACCTTTCAGTTTTTTGCTTTCTTTAAAAACCATGGGTTTTGTACACTCTTTAACTCATATGTGTTTATGACTTAAATATTCACATTTTTTTCTTCCTGGCAGGGCTTGTTGCCACCCCACATTGTCCTCAAAGAGCCAAGGATAGGTAGGCTGAAGGAAGACTGTGTGTGGTCAATATGTCACTGCACTCCAGCTAAATCTGGCTGCTAGAATTGTCCCTGGGGGCAACAGACAGCTGGACGTAATTTAGAGCAGGCTGAGATTGATACTAAAGGCTAGCCTGAAAATGAGGAGAACAAAATTGCAGTTTAATCTCTTCTGCTCCCAGATCTGACCCCCTTTTCCTGTTTCAAACATAGCTCACTAGAACAGAAAATCAAGCACACAGCAAATTTAAGCAACTTGTATTTGTCAGCTCAGGGGACCATCAGTGTCAATTTAAGATTATTTCTTTTCCTGAGCATGTCATATCAAGTAACACTGGAGTTGTCTAAACTAAGATCTGGAATGGTGGAGATGTTATTTTCATTTTGGACTCCCAGGAATTTTAGAACATAAATTATTTTGATAACATGGCAGGCTGCCTTTCTGCCACACTGCCTGCAAATGTCAAAATTTTTTCCACATTTCAACTTGGAAATGACATCGTGTTGGTTGAAGGATAAATTGTGAAGAATTATATATCTCACTGTATTGCTGATTAAATATGACAAATGTTGAACTTTTATTTGAGGTAAGATTTTACAAGTTTATTTATCTTTAAGGGAGATATTGTGAGCATATTGCACGTGGCGTGAGGTGTTACTTTACTGTGAACTTAATTTGAAAGAAGAACTGCATTAGCAAATTGCTCTCACTTTTCATAGAAAGCTAACAGTGAGAGGTAAAAATGTGTCATATCAGTTTCTGATCATAGATGTTGAAATTACCAAAAGTTAATAAGGACCAAAATGTCAGTAGCAAAGGACAGAGAACATATTCTCTCCTTCTTCTGAAGCCTCTCATTAAAATTAAAGCTATATTATTATTACTTGTTTCACAGAATCACAGAATGTTAGGGGTTGGAAGGGACCTCTGTGGGTCCTCTATTCCAACCCCCCTCCCAACGCCAGCTCTTCTTCAGGCTGAACAAGCCCAGCTCCCTCAGCCTTTCCTCATAGGAGAGATGCTCCAGTCCCCTCACCATCCTCGTAGCCCTCCGCTGGACTCTCTCCAGTAGTTCCTCATCTGTCTTGAAGTGGGGAGCCCAGAACTGGACACAGGACTCCAGATGGGGCCTCACTAGGGCTGAGTAGAGGGGGAGGAGAACCTCCCTCGACCTGCTGGGCACACTCTTCTTAATGGACCCCAGGATCCCATTGGCCTTCTTGGCAACGAGGGCATGCTGCTGGCTCATGGTCAACCTGTCATCCACCAGCACTCCCAGGTCCCTCTCCACAGAGCTGCTCTCCAGCAGCCTTGTATTAGTTTGCTGCCTTGTATTACAGTAGGGTACATAGGTGATAGATGATACAAACACATAATTAGAGAAAAATCCTTCCCTGTAATTCTTGCAGTTTGGTGAGGAAAAAAGCATGACAGTTGGATTAGAAAATCTGGTAGCCTAGAATTTTAGCCTTTATTTTACGGTCTTGGGTGAGTTTTGTTGTGCTGAGGCCTTTCGCTAACTTAGGCTAATGT